GACTCACGCGTAAAAAAAGCGTGCTATCTCTCCGGCGTTGCCCGGTACATATCGTCTTGGGCCTACCGGGAGACACGGAGCCATCGGGGGCAGCAAAAAATTACTTGTGACATGACCGATCACCGTGACGGTTTTTCGCCGAAAATGAGCGAGAAATCATATACTTTTGGGGATCCCACAGTCACGCGAGGGAAATTGATTCTGACAGTGACTAGGAAGATTTCCTGTTGCGGAGGGCTGATTTTAGTCCTCATTTTTTGCCGCATAATGATGAACCCGAGCTCAAAACCGCGTGAGATCGTGTCCAGGCTTGCGTCAAAAGCCCCCGGACTTAAAAAGGCAATTTTCCGGCGATATATTATTACTAGGGCCAGTTATATTCCACGGAGGAAATGGAAAGAGCGGCCAGGAGTCCACGACAGGCAGTCTCGCGGAATATTTTAAGGACTCAGCAACGAATGCATATAAATATTAATAGACTTCTGCAAAACACTTAGAGGAGGAAATCGATCCAATTTTTTTTCACATGAAGAACAATTTCTGATAAATGGTGGGCATAAATTTCATGGCGTGTATTTTTGAATCACCTCCGCAACTGGCACGCAGTGGCGCTCTTAGCCTTTATATTTCTCACTTATGAATTTTCCAATGAGTCTATTGCTAAAATTGAACAGGAACATGGAGACACACGCAGGCAGTGTCATATTTTCACCTCATTTCCAAGCTCAATCCCTGCCACATTTCATAGCTGGCTGTGTCACCATACTGCTCCATCGATCGACTCGGATACCCCGACGAGGGCCGACAGCGCTAATCACACAGCAATTTCACACGAACAATATTCGCGCCAGAGAGTGGCTTGGGAACCTTTCATGCCGACACATTCAACACTATCCACTTTGAACATAAAAAAAACACCACTACACATAATTAACAGGCGAAATAGCTGTCGGTTAGAAGAAAACATCCTTTTTGTAAGGCGCGATTCTTGATCTTAAACACGTAAGACGCCCAAAACCAAATAAACGGTACAACCGATGCTATTGTAAATGGCACATTTTCGGCTGACCCTCAAATTGCTCGTTCCGAGACCGGAACCCGGGGATGGATGCATGCCACTTTACTACCGTAAGTCAATAGAATACAAGCCGTTAGCTGCATTATTCATGGTCGTGTGCTTGTTGCCCACAGTCATTGATTTTATAAGGCAGATTTTGTCCTCTGCGAGCCAGCGTGGAGATAGGTAAATGAAAAACGGACGGTTACACTTTAACTGGATCCACTGTAAACATCTCTCCCCCATAGCAACGGTAAAATTATCAGGAACGAAATGTTTTATTCAACCTCGGCACAGTCTGAGATCGCTTACTTCAAGCCAAGGCAATTAGCGGAATTGTTTTTTGAAACACTCTCTTCCAGAAGGCCGGATCCAAATCTGGAACAAGTGCTAGAGGTCTCCAAACGGGGCGAATGTTTCGGGAAGTTTGTCGCGTAAAACTGATAATGTTCCCCTTCGATACTAAGTGACATTTTCTAGTCATTTTTGTCTTGTCCACCAAATGTATCGACACCCTATACATTTTGCCCAAACCTTAAACAAAATAGAAAAGGAATATGGAACACATGATCTTCACCTTTCGAGAGAGGGACACAATGAAAATGGACGGTCCTGCGAGAGGAAACTTCCCTGAGGTTCAAGAGAATCCTGTAAGTGCCTAAGATCGGCTTTTACTGAAAACCGTATCACCCCCCCCAAAAAAAAACCACATCCCAAATATTTCCACAGTCCACATAAAAATGCACCAAATGGGTTTAAAAAGGCTCGGGATATGGATTATGGTTATTATGATGCCCTATTTTTTTTCATTCTCATGCAGCAATCAATTTTAAGAACTAAAAACGTGGAGGCCTATAAACCTTTATCACGATGCTGCCATGTTTGTATTGTTCCCTTTAGACACACTGGCGACAGTAATACAACTTCACATACTGAAAAAAGGATCAAACTATTTTCCCTTCGAGCCTCAGTTTGGTTACGTTGCTTTGAACGGTTTAAAAAAGCAAGATGGCTGCCCCATGATAGAGGTCTACAGCAAACGCTACGCTGCGGTAGAGTCAGTTTCCTTTCACGTATCTTTCTTAAACGCTTTACCTCGTTAGATATTCCATAAAACCTTCTTTCGGAGAGTGGACAGGATAAGACCTTCTCTTGGTAATACATCAAAATTTCCTCAAGTTGAACGCAACAAAAACTGAGTTCATAATTCTGGGATTTAATCAACAAATCAGGAAAGTGCCTATTCATCATTGCAGAGTTGGCGATGGGCAAATTAGATCTTCTAAATGTCCGTTACTTGGACGTGATGTTCAATTCGGCCATGAAAATGGACTGTCGGGTGACGGCAATATCTAAGGCTGCTTACATGTCAATTAGGAACACTGGAAGAATATGGGATCATCTGACAAGGGCCCATAAAGGGAGCTGCCGAAACCATTGTTCATGCTTTCATCACATCCAAATTGGATTCATGCAACTCGCTCCTCTATGGAATCAACAATCAACTCCTCTCTCGTCTTCAAAGAATACAAAATATTGCAGCACGAATGATCACACGTACAAGGAAAACAGACCACATCACACCCATGTTAGCTGACCTGCACTGGCTTCCCATCCAACAACGAGTCCAGTACACACTGTGCCTCATCATCTTCAAGATCCTACAGGGTGATGCTCCAGCTTATTGGGGTGATCTTGTCCAGTTCTATGCTCCAGGTCATCGGGATTTGCGGTCATCCAAAAGCAATCTACTCAAGGAAACTATGGCTCATTAGGGGGGGGAGAAGCTTTCAGATTTGTGCACCCAAACTTAAAAACTCTTTACCAGAATCTGTGAGACCATCGAAATCACTTGACACATTCAAGGACAGATTAAAATCATATTTGCATAGACAGGCGTTTGGTCAATTTCCCTCAACTTATCATTATTGGATGTCTTTGCTTATTAGCGCCGTGAGCGCCGTTTGCGGCGGATACTGGCGCTCTATAAATGTTCATTATTATTATTATGCACTTGCGAAAAAACTCCATCGTGCGCCTTTTCACAAGACAATAATCTGTCGTAATTACATGCCACTAAAAATCCAGTGCCTCGGGGCCTGCAGAAGACCACACTAAGTGTGAACGAGCTATCTTGATTGAAGATCAGAAATAAAAATACCAGTTATTTTCAAAAAGCGGTCTATAATTACAACAGCGGCATGACATTGACGACAAATTAGGTTTCACGCGTGCTTCGCGGAGTGAAAGGTCTCGATGACCTTGCGAGGTGAGACCTGACGTGCCTGATCTCAATGTCCTCTCGGACGTACATTACATTGACACAACTATCCGTCTCGAGCTGAAGCACCCCCCTCATCGGTTGAAAAGAGCCGCGTTGGTCGGGAGTGTTCAATTTGTGGGTACTGATGCAACTATGACGCGTGGATTTCCTTGTCGTTCGTGGACCAGCGAAGTTCAGTTCTCACCAGAGGAGCCTCCGTTGCTAAGAAAATAACACCCTCTCTTGGTACAGCTCGAGGCTCATTAAGACTTGCATTCAACACCCCCTCCAAAAGAGACTTCACATATTTCTCGTCTTCCTAGAGAAAGAAGTACTTTGGTTACCAGGCGCATTAGGGCGCCGATGTAAGTTGACTACAGTATCATCGAAACCGAAACCGGGTCCAAAAGCTGACAAACACACGGGGTTTACTGCACATGAAGCTGATTCAAACACAGAGCATAGTAGAGACGAGTTGGGGGATGCATCATAACATGAACTATGAGTGAACAGGAAGGTTTATGTAACAACATCCAAGACTTATTACGACATTTTTCGATTATGGCTTTATATACCACTCTTATGTTGCCTACAAGTTGTGTTGGCAGGTGAGGCTTGCAGAAATATCGTCTTTTGGTTGGTTTTTGGTTTTACCTCCAGTTTGTCTCATTGATTTTATATAGGGTTGCATTTTCACTGAGTATTCAGAAGTGTGTGTGATGTTATCTGGTGTTCTGACAGCTGGCCATAGACACTGAAAGATACCTTGCTTCAAGCTACCATCGCATTCTTCTTAAGAGTCTCTCAATCAATGTCGTCTTCTGTGAACGACGAGGGCTTCCTTGCAAACCCTAAATCTGCCCATACGAACCTAATACCATTAACAACATGATCTCCTTGTGCTTTTCATTCCCTATTGTGTTTTTGTTTCCATACACGTCAAGCCTCACTGACTTTCCCGCGGCAAGCTCGCCCGGGAACGCTATGTGGATTACAGCACCACAATGGCGACGGGAGAATGATTTATGGAAACCGATCACAAACATGCCTGATCACAAAGAAGAAAGTGTAAAACCAAGTAGCGACATTATCTGTACTACTGATCATCATCAACATCCTCGTCGTCATCCCCTTGTCATTTTTACAGTTTTCTGTCACCTCCAGGCTTGTTCAGAGATGACGTAAACTGTCATCCTCAGTGTAACATAAAGTAGTACAGTATAGACTGCGGAACGATCTTAACCAACATGCTCGACAACTACGGTACAAAATGATTGAACCCACTTCACCGTTAGAACCGAGTCGTTCAGAGAAAAAAAAATATAGAAATCTTCTTGAAGTGTTCAATTACGCGCATTTGTTTTGGGGTACACTGAAAGTTAAACGACTTCGCAATGATGCGTCCTACATGACAATGCCCGTTTAAGCTGTTTGTTTGCAATGGTTGAGATCGCAACCGTCAAAATATTTTCTTTTTAAACACGCCAACAGTGCGAGAAAAGTGAGTGAAAATGTCACTTAAAAATAGAATCAATGAAAGAGAGGGGTTGGTTTCTTGTATTATCACAGTTCGGGTACAACAGAATAGTATGGAAAGGTAAACGTTGCTCCAAACAATTAACGCACAAGGCGCAGCTCATTCGAGACTGAATTCTGTGCTGTGGATGGGAACGAACGCCACCTTTAGTGACACTGAACACAGAAAACTTCCTTTGTCACACGGGAAGGCCAGACTTTTGGAGGTTGCTCACCAGCTGGATTAGGGGACTGGCTTACTGGAATGAGAGGTGCACGTTTAGTGCGATGGTTGAGGACGTCTGATGACGTCTCGTGCTTTTTACCCGAAATAGATCTGTGCATAGTTGCCATGGTTTGAACGTGTGAGCGTCAAATCGTACGGAGTATGTCAATATTGACGCTTACTCTTGGAAACAGAAACAAAACTGCCTGGTGATTTTTTTCCCAGTCAGCGTCGATGAGTTTGAGGGTATGGACGTGAAGAGAATTTTGTGAGCTTGCGTACAGTATACGGACCAGCGTGGTGCGTGGTTCCACACGGATAATGAGGATGTAGGATCTGATGTGAGCGCAGAGTGAATGTACGGTGACGACAGGTGAATTACAATATCACTTTAGACGGACGGATGGCGCAGACAAGGCAGCACATGTCAGTGGAGAAACCGCTCTATCTGATGTCTTCTAGGTTTCAACGCGCCGTAATGAACATACAACACCGACGCGCCGGTTAGTGCAAATTGGAACTTATGCATATCGCGTGAGAATGAGACTCAGACTCGAGACTATCCAGTGGCGTATTTATGCCATGATTTCTAGCGATCGGTCGACTTTGGTGTGCGTCTGCATTCTCTGGACGGTTCTCGATCCGTCCGTGGCCAGGAAGATCAACCTGGGGTTGCTGTTCCCGTGGGAGGGATCCAATCCCGTGGGCTCCTATGGTGGGGGTGCGGCTGCAATAGCCGTGGACAAGGTCAACTCGGAAGGCAGACAGGAGTATGGGGCCATCCACGCCGCCGGGCTGGAGTTCGACTACATCTGGAGGGACACCAACTGCGAGACCAAAGTGGGCTTGCCCGTCTTCAGCGACTTGCACTACGAAAACGAGCTGGGGGTGCCGATCGATGCCTACATCGGCCCCGGCTGCAGCATCATCTGTGAGCCTGGGGGAATACTGGCCGCGCACTGGGGCACGCCCGTCGTCTCCTGGGGCTGCACCTCAGACACGCTGTCACAGAAGGAGACCTACCCGACCTTCGCCCGCACCACCAGCCCCAGCAAGTTCGTGGCGCCGTTCTTCACCCGCATCATGCAGCACTTCGGCTACGACCGGGTGGCCATCATCTACTCCTCCCACCATCTCTGGTCTCTGACGGCTCAGAATATCAAGACGGACCTGGAGGAGAACGGCATCATGGTGTCGGTGTTTGGTCAGTTCGAGCCGCTGGAGAAACTGGCTGAGGCCAATAAGGCCAACATTGAGAGAGAAGCTCAGAACAAGAAGAAACAGCTCGAGGATGCAAAAGAGCGTTCAAGAGGTTTGTAAATATTGTACATGATCATGGGAAAGCTCAATTTCCATAATTGCTTCACCAGACAAGTTATCACTCTGTTACCTGCTAATTTATTTTATCACTAAATTACTGCTGGACATCTAACTTCCATAAATTGCTGTAAATATCACCAAAAATCAGATTTTCTGAATAGAAGACTCACAACTGTTATGGGTACATTTTAAGGGAAAAAAATTCATCCCAACATTTCAAATTAGAACACTGGCCTTAACGCATTGGACACCATCACATAAATCAAATCAGATCAGATCACACCCGATCAAAATATATCAACGAAAACAAATTTCGATCTAAGCTTATAAACATTCATGTATTTAAGACTGACAACGATTTACCCTGCAGCGACCGACCGCTTTTGCAGTTAAATCCTAACAATGAGATCGCTATAAATACGTTACCAGGATAATTTTAGGTCAACACCTTTGAACTCTTCGTGTTATGCTCCTGAAAATGACGAGGTACATATAATTGGTGAAGTCCCAAATATGAAGAACCTTCTCAGAAAGAAGCGTAGCGGTAGATGACACTGGATTTAGTACACAATTTAATAAAGAACGGAGCAATTAACCTTTAACTTGCAAACTCTCCAGAACCTTTCAGTATGAAATGTCCTGTTTCTGCCGCGATATAACAGAAAGGAGCAAGAGCATGAGGCATCCTAATTCAGTTTGTGATCGGGTTAGACAAGACAGACTACGGTATGCCCAACCACCCGAAATTATACACCGTAACAAAGTCCTTGGAAGGAGACTAAATGGCCTCTCAAAGACAACTGACACCCCTGTGACATGTCGAAAGTGCTAGCCGAGAACAAAATAGTAAGAAAACGAGTACATTGCCATATCAACGGTTAATCATCCATTCAAAATAAGTCATAGCAAACTGTGGACAAATATAGAAGGGCATTAAAGAAAATGCAAGTACAAGTATATTTGGGCTGATTTTTTTCCTAAATAATATTACACATGCATAGAAAATGGCAGATTGACGGAACAGGAAATGTTAAAACTTTGCTGAAGTTAAATTGTCTATTTTCGTGAACTCGGTTTAATGAAAAAAATTCTAGGACTGATATTATTATATATTAACCAAAAAGCCACCACCACCTTGCATTATTTCTTCCCGACATTACCAAGCAAAGTGCACTTTTCCATGTGCCGTACAAACTCTGATGAACGAGCAATCGGTCAAAGCTCAGCTCAGATCGCGTCCCTCGGACGGCCCGCCCCGTTTCGGATTCCTCACAACTTGTGCCAATACTAACCAGGGCAGGGCAAAAAATCTAAAATTAATTAACATCTCCCAGGCTCAAATCCATCCTTGGAAATAGTTGTTCGCGCCACCCGCTGTTGCATCTGACTCGAACCAGCAAGCCGACACCACCAAGCTCGGTGGTTAAGACGTCTGCACTAGTAAGCAGGAAGTCGTTGGTTCGAATCCCACCTGAGTACCCTTGTGGTTTTTTCACAAGCCTTACGGGGGCAAACACTGAGCATACAGTGTAATAATACACGTCGGGCAGGGCAAAAATCCGACATTAATACTAACCTTATTGTGCTGTCGATTTGCGGAATCCATAAAATTTTGTATCGAGGAACGAGTTTTAAAATCAGGAACGTAAGTATCATGACTCTTGCCATCTTACAAGATGATGTAATGACAAGGGCAAATCAAGAACTGAATATTTCACGGGATAAAACTTTTGTGATCTATACATTTAACATTGTATTTCCTTTCTGACCCTAACCCTAACCCATCTTTTCATTTAACATTTTATTTACTTTCTGATGTGTTAGGCTCGATTTGGGGTGTTTTATACACCATGGAATTAGGTAAAAAATTACAAAAATCAAGCCATCTTTCGTTATTGGAAACAAAACAGAAGTTAACAACCAACGAAGCATGCACGCCATTTTTTTTGGGGGGGGGCGGCCCCTTCTCCCCAGCTAGTAAGGGGAAGTGGAAACCAAATCTCTTCGGTTACGACCGAACATTCCACAGAAAAGTGACCAACAAAAAGTGACCAATTCACGAAGCCACTGTAGCCATTTAAATTTATGGAAACGTGATATTATTTGTAGAAAGGGGAGAAAAAAATTCTATGCCGAGAAAAAGAAATTGCGACACCGAGGAAATTCGGGCCGTTGGCACATATGGAGCATCATACATCAGCCATTCTCTCCTGCTCAGATCTACATCATTGTTTTGAACGGCTTGCCCGGCAGTGCATCATCTGAGCGCATTACGGGAGCATTTAAACCGTGTGCTGTTATCCACCTTACTCGGTCCATTGGGATATTGTCTAATTACTCACAATTTACCTTGGCTCCAATCGCAACTGTGAAACAATATACGACGAATACAGGCTGTGGGGCTTCCAGTTTATCTGGCAACGTAAGCAAATGGATCAAACATTGTGATACCTTCCAACCGACAGCTACACACCATTAATAACTATCACTCGGTCCCAAGCAAAGGTGTGATTCATCAAAATGACAGTGACACACCAGCATCAGTGAGACCACCTCATTCCCGATGCGCAACCACAGTTAGTTGTCAAGGTAATGATCGGATGAAGAACAAAGGGGTCAATCAGCCCAACCGGTATCAGAAGCCATCCCTGCGGCAATACTGCGTACGCTCGCATGCAACTGGTACGCGCGCGTGGAATACCTTGTCGACGCAATGGGTGTCCTGATTTGCCAAAATCTATACACGAGTTTCCATGTCGACGGACGCGCGTTTGAGTGCAGTACCACTGCAGTTGGGGCGTTTACGTAATATGATAATAAATCATGTCCAAATATTCAACAGGATACTTGTACTTCTCAAAAATTACTAGCGCGCAGCTATGACGTCATTCTGACGCCAGCTCAATATGTATTCGCCATACGCCATGAGTCTTAGTTTGTTAAGCAAAATGCATCAAGCCATCACTGGCAATATCTGTTGACAAGGACATCTTATTCTGCGCTTTCTATTCCAACTCCTCCGGACGATTCAAAATAACTGTCGAAGGAATTTTCCCGACACTACAGCAGGAGCTGCTTCCGGTTAAGAATTCTTTCCAAGGCCTTTTCATTTAGTTCAGCAATTTCTGTACTGAAAAGAGATATAACTTTGGTCTGGCGGTATGGACCGGTACGTTTAGACTACATGAACTTGCAAAACTGAATGCATGACCTGATTCTTGCACAACAGTGAAACACTCTTCATTGTAGACCTTTGTACTGGTATATTAAAGTACTGCAACGTGTGTTGGCTAGGTTTGAACATAACCCCAGACAACATGCGAGGCTGAGAAATGGTCTAGTTCCCTGATCCAAAGCAAACAAGAATGTGTTTCATTTAATATTGCAAGCAGGAGTCGGAGTCTTGGTAATCTGCCGAGGAAACAAATGTATCGTATGATAGTGTGCACCGAAGTCATCGTTATTATCACTATCATTAACCATTTCTGGTAATGAAACCAAGGATTCCTCAAAAGTGCCCTAGGCACTGTAGCTTGCAAGCCTGAAGGAACCTGTAGAGAGGAGACATTGGGAAGCAGTTGAGGAAAAGCCCAGAGGAATATTCTGGGTAAAACTCACGAAATCAGGTAGGGACTGAAACGTCGTCGTACCTGTTTCAGGCTTTAATGGGTTTGTAGAAACACTTAAGAAACAATTAGATTCGAAAAATGAAAATCTACGATCGAAATTCGGAATTTGTTCGGAAAACAGATTGCTGGGTTTGTAATCGACGGCAAACTCCCCTTAATCTCACCCCCATTTTAACCCGCTCTCTGAAGTACGCCCATACTTTCGTCGTTATGGGCTAAGAAAAAAAAAAAACTTTACATTTTTAAGGGGATCCCTGCAGCGAGAGTGTGGTGAACTAGTCCACGCCTTCTCAATCTAGCACTTTGTGACTGCGGCAATTGTCTTTTTGGGGAGAAACAATTAGTCAACTCTGATGACTGGCGTAACCACTTCCATTTGAAACGAAGCATTCGTTCAAGGCCGATTGCATCTCCTTTTTAATGGAGGCTATAATTTTCGTTTAATGGAATGGAAATTTAATGCTATTGTGCTCGATAGAGGTTTTGGGCAGGCACGACGGCTCTATATAGCCGGGCACGAATGACAGATTAATCGGCTCTTATTGGTGATTGGTTGTACGTCGCCACTGCTCTGTCCATTAGGATGCGAAAAGTCATTGTTTCTGGTATCATTACGCTGAAAAGTAAATCAATCATTTAATGTAGCCGTGGCAGCTAATCCCAGTGTCCATCGGAGAGGAATTGTTAAGAAGAAAAGAATAAAGTATAATCGGCCCCTTGGATAAAAACCTTTCTTGTACTTATTGATGTTTAATTAGTGTACGAGTGAGGAATTTCTGTCAGTGAGATAAAATGAGAAATTCAACCCTTCAAACCCCTGTTTTGACGATAATGCTGCTGAATTCTCGCTCGAAGCATAGGTAAATGCTTTGCTTTATCAAGTTCAAAGCAATCTATGAGTTCAGATGTACGATGATGGTGATTTTAAGGTTGTTACAGATTCTTGATAGCAGATTTCAGCACAGCTTGATAATTTCTGCAAATTGGGTTATTCCACAACGTACCCAGGTGCACTATTATGTAGCGTCGTACGAAGGTTTATTCTGTTTTTACATCAACTAATAGCCGTAATTTCATCGATTTTTTTTGCAGTGTTTATCATTATTGCTTACGGCACAGACGTCAGGAATTTTTTGCTAGATGCCTTGGATCTGGGCATGACCGACGGGACCTATGCTTTCTTCACAACGGAAGTCTCTCTGAACGCCAGAAACGACGTAAGCCAAACCAACGATGGTCGTGACGACGACGCCATCCGGGCGTTTGAAGGTATTTAGCAATTTAGAAATTTTAGTCTGGTGAGCGAACAGACGCCAGTTCATTCGACGTCATTAATGAGCAACATCAAGCCAACGACGTCAATCACCAATAGTGTCTTAATATCTCTGTTTTCAATTCCATGAAAGTCTTTCATCTGTTAAACGCCACTCAATTGTGTCCCCGTGACGTTTTGCATCGCGATGAGAACACTAGGAATCTCAACAAGCGGCAAGACTGGACCAGATAACTCAAGACGGACTGTGGCAGCCAAAAACCCGAATGTGAAAACCTTTTTTTTTCACCCGTCCCACTCATCTAAATTTCATGTCATCAGTCTTTGATGGACGTTCGGTCTGACATACAATGAGCTGAGTGCATCTCAGATATGCATGCATTCAGGCTCACCATGAGGATGGTTTTATATTAACGCTTAATAATTATATCAACTCGTCGTGTGCCAGGCAGAAGGGCGTATTGCGCGCTTACGCCTTTCTGCCGGGCACCCAACCAACTATTATAGGCATTAGTAACTCGACATTTGCAAATTCAAAGGTCATTCCCCAGAATCTGTACTCGTCAAAGTTCCATGGTAAACTACCTGAAAAACAGCTCCTGTTAGTGTCGAGGTAAATATGCTGACTTTCGACATTCACACAGTAAAGGAAGCAACCTATCACGGAGTCACTACTTCAACCCGTACATTGTGGCGCCTAGCGCAACACGTGACTTTGCAGAAAGAAAGTATGTGGGAGTGGGCACCAAATCGAGAATTACCAAGATCACCCCACTTTCACGGGAAAAGTAATAGGGTAAAAGAACCGAGTCACAGTAGGTGCCGCCCTGATTATTATCGCCACAAAAGAGTCGGCCCAACGCTCCCGGCATCAACAGACAGCCCGTAAATCTATTACTGTTCACACAAATCGCGACAAGCAGCCAACTTCAAAGGGAGTTGCCTATTTTGTCATCAAAGGGCAGCCGACGCGATAGTACATTTATAAGGGCCGTGTCACTTATCATTTAGAAGCCATTTATCTGATTCATTGTCTTTTTGTGAACCCTCTCCGAGCTCGGGTTCGTCTCAGTGTAACTTTTAATGAAGTAATCCACCAATCAACGAAGACGGAGTGATATACATGTATGTCATAATTCGACGTGCTGGCAAAGATCCAAACATGAATGCCGAGCGCTGTGCACACGTACACCAGAATTTCAATCTTTTCCAGTATTGTTCAAAGCAGACGCTATTCTTAATAAGCAACAGAGCAAAGCACAATACTTCGGGGAATTTCTATAATTTTTCCTACTTTATATTTTCCGAACCGAGACACCATTCTTCGGAAAACAAAATACTCGTCAAGGGTGGGTTCCTGTTTCTATTTCCCTGAACGTTTCCATAAAACTGTTTGTTGACAAGTGACGCCACATTCCCCAAAGTGCAAGTCGTTGCTACATTATTTTGCGTGTGTAGACTATACATGTATTATTTATAAATTGTTTAAACAGAAATGGATCCCGACGTTATTGGTGACAGAGCCATTTTCAGCTAGAAAAAAACATATTCAACAACAGCAAAACATAGAATATATTAGCCTAACTAATGACCCATACACTCATCTAAATTTGGTACAAACGTCACGCTAACAAAGTCGAAATTTTGGTCTCGATAAATTTAGCAGCAGATTTCTTCAAACTTAGAAACGCACATGAATCTCACGATGTATAAACGTTTCTGTGACGTGAAGCACCAAGTGTTGCCTCTTCAGCAATATTCTGACTTGGACATTTGGTGTGTTGGCGCTTGAATAATTGCTTTCACTCTGTGTTTCGATAATATGGGTGCCACTGCAAGATCTAAACCGTTCCTCTTCTGAGGAAAATTGTATAACAGGATGGACCACAGCCCACGATGTGACCTCAAATTGCCCTGGACAATATTGTTGTTAATCATCCTAGCATCATCGTAAATCGCCCGTTCGTGAAATTTTATCTACCTATCACGTTTCGACAAAGTAGTTTCACAGCCAAACACACTTATCACTTATTTGTCTTGTATTAATTGAAACATATGTCTGCGTATTTCGAGAAGGATAATTATTGACGATCGATGTAGTTGTAACAGACAAGCTGAAAGTGACACCTGATCTCTGTATATAACGCAACCATTGAAGTGGCTACAGCTAATATGGCACGGTTGTTCACCATCTGTTTCATTAAACATAAACCCACACAATCAGTATAAGGGTCTTACATTATGATATATACAATTCTGACATTAAAATAAGTTATGTGCTGTACAAGGCTTAAATAATTCAATCACTATTACATTTTCACAGATGTTTGTGAAAATTCCAGTAAAATTTGACAAACATTTGGCAATACAGCAAAGCGCAGAACATATGTTCGACAATAGTTAGCAAAATATTAAATTGTTGAGCAAGGTACGTACGTTTGGAATAACTGCGCTTTTATTTTGCTCGCACACCTATCAAAATGTGATCTTTTTTGTAAAAACCAGTCATGAAGTCATCTTTTCCGAAATTTGTTTCACTTTTCATTACAAAGAGCAAGCAGGGCTCTTTGCTTTGACATATCACTCACTGACGTATCCTGATGAATCTGGACATTGTTGTGGATGAAGACGTTGAGGGTCGCAACTGACTCCCATAGAACAAGGCTCTCTAAAAAGCTTGTAACTCCGAACTGGCTTTGGCCACTTAGTCATGTTTTTACACAACAGGTCACAAATATGTAGTATTAGTGGCAGAAGGTACTCATACGATGATATTTTAATCTGATTTTTAAGAGGTAACATTATTTCGTTTACTTAAAAATAAAACAAAACAAAATAAAGAAATCAATAAAAAAAAACCAAAACGAAACAAAGCAAAACCCAAACTGCCGGCATGCTAATTGTGTTCATTCACTGCTGGTTTTTTTTTGCAGGAACAACAGAAACGTAAATGTAACATTACTCCTTGAATCCGTGAAGTACTTTTGCGTCAGCAGAATCTTCGATACAGTGCCAAAGATGTAAAAACACCCAGCATCATGAGCTATCATTTCAAAGTCGGACTCGCTGATATTGTTTATACATTCACCGAGACGCGCTCACACACACCGTACAAGTACTTGTACATGTACATGTATATGTGAATTACACAGATGCATAAAGAAGGGACGGCTGCATGTACGACAAAACATGGAAACGGTCCAAGCGAACACCTTTCTGTTAACAAAAACTGGCTCTATTGCTTATTGCATTCAGCACCAAGAACAAACAATAGCGCAGCAGGGGGGGGGGTATTTCTACATATAGATATGTTTGTGACGTCATTTAATAGTTGCTAATAAAGCAGTAGAGTTGGCAGCGAATAATTTATGAGAGTCTTCCAAATTTTTAGTGTGTACATAATTATGCACGCTTTTGAACTGCATCGATTCTTTCTTTTGGTATCGATTCTTTGTTATCGCTTGTGTGTTTGCTGTCCTAACATCGCTCATGGCTCTATTTATTCCCGATGTAGCGCCGTACACTTCGTTGAGACAATCGATACTGATTTCATTTCAAACCGGTTCCGTTTGTGTGCAAGGTCTTATGGATGTCAAACTGCTGAAACCCGAGACCGATGCCTTCAAGGCGTTTGAGGATGAAGTTCGCAACCGAACATCCCAGATGCCGTTCAATTCGACTGTCTTTGTCAATAACCCCGATGCAGAGGTATGGATTTAACCCAAGTCAATAATTTAATAATGAGATGTTCATTATTACAACACGCAAACATGGTATCATCAAACATTCAATGCAAGCCCTCACTAAAATTAAAAACTTCTTACATACCTACAGTGTTCAAATCCTCATGTTGTTGACCACTTTCGATTTTCGTTATCTTTATTACAGATTGTAATCGAGGCTGCCCTATTATACGATGCTGTCCTCCTCTATGCGGGTGCACTCAATAGAAGCCTCAATGCGGAAAATTCGACAGATGGCCGAACAGTCAGCAAATATCTCTTCACGAACAATTTCACTGGTAAATAATAAATACGACAAAAACAAATGCCCAGTTTCACAAAGCGTTCTTTTGAAGAAGTGAATAATGTGTTTGGAACGAAACTGAGAAATTGGGTGTAAAAAACTCGTGGCTTCTTATTTCTGACATTCCGGTGGTATTCAAGAGCTATGCATTGATCTGAGGAGACGCACGGGCGCGTCCTTTAACTTGAGGCGTACGCAAATTTTGGCAAGTCACAACACTACGGCGGCACATCGCAATAACGGTTCTCGATATCTTGTCACCTGATGGTCTACACCACAGTGTGCTCACTGTTTCTGTTATATTTCTATCAGGAATTGACGGTGAAGTCGTTATTGATGAGTCTGGAGATCGACATCCCAATCTGATGCTTCAGAACCTTTTTAATGAACAGTTTACAACCGTTGCCAATTACTTCAACAAGTAAGACACCATTTCAACTGATTTGCAATCCGTGATCGAGACTATATGTACATGTACTTTGCCAATCCTGCTTTTTTATTATAATTTACTGACTTTTAGGTGAAAATGTACTCAGTTCAAAACAACATTTCGTGCCCTTGTTAATAAAATTTATTAACGACTCGTACAGGGCAGGGGGAATCTTGCGTTAAACTAGACTTGACTTTACTGCCATTCGCACTTAAAAGGAAAATGTTACATATGTTACATTTGGTTTTACCCATTATGCCTCTTTTTATTTGAAAAAAAATCGCGCGATGATATCTATTTGTTGTATTCTGTGTACTCTCTGTACTTCCTGCATGGTATTTGACGTTCGTCGGCCTTCGCTAACATCCTCCGTGGGTGCATCCCACCGATGAGCACAGCCTACGCGTCAAGTTCCGTTTCGTCGTTTATAACGGCATTGTTCCAGAACTATTCCTTGCGTGCTTTTATTAGGGCAATTCGGGCCTGATGGATGGTTCATCATTACATTTGGATATGTAAACACCTGTTCACCGGTTTCGCAACTCCGGAGGACGAGGCTATTCGCATACAGCTTCAGAGTCGAGAAATGATTGATGGCATTACGCTCAGGAAGCGCATCGCGCTCCAGGTGGTGGTTATCTGCACTCAAAGAATAACTGTGAAACGTTGGAACAAGAAAAGTCGACTGCTATCTCCGAAGACGCTCTTGTCAGTTTTTAGCCCCAATATTGACACTATCCACCCATTGCTATGCTAGCGACGCAATATTTCTAGAATTAAGTGGTGTTGGGGTAAATATTATTTCCAATTGGGCCAATTGTGCCACTGGAGAAAAAAAAGATATTATGTACATGGTGTACATGAATGTATATACCTCAACAGGTGGTGCAGGTGTACTCAAGGTAAATACCTGTAACGACGCTGAAAACACAAAACCAAGAAATAAAGATTAAGAACTGTATGGAATGGGAGACACACGACGTTTTGGGAATGACAAGAGAGGAAATATTCAATAGTCTTCAACATAAATAGAGCACTTAATATTCTCGGTATATTCAATAGGGCCTAAGCTATTTCGGGAGTTTATTTGACATTCCTCACATAAAAACTATTTTTTTTAAAGGTAAATCTGAGGAATTTGAGTTATCTAACCTTGACGGATAGAATTTTATTTTCACAGCGATCAACTTGCTTAATTCTTTCATCACTTCATCACCTCACTGTAAAAACATCTGCTGAACACTTTTCCATGGTATATGTTTAGATTTTTGAAATCTGCTTAGCATTTAAACACATTCCTAAACGCATAACAAAGAACATGTCTTGTTTAAACATGTTCAAAACGTGGGTACGGAAAATGTATTTAAACTTGAAGCACATTTTTAGAGTGTTGTATCACCGGCTTTGAAATGAACTATTAAAACGATTCTCTTTCAAAAATTATTCCAATGTTAGGCGTCGGATGAGGGCAAGGATGACCATTAATTTAACCCTGCAACACAGGTTCCTGTTTTTTCTTTGCCTTCTTAGCTGCTCGACAAGCCAAAAGTGTCGTAACGTGAGTTAGTGTTGCCTTTGTAAAGATTGCGTGTGATCGTACATAAGTCTGCTCTGAAAGCGCATCGGTCCAAAGTGTATATATGCAGGTGCACGGGTGTGAGTGTTCACAGCGATACCTAAGATGAAGTGCGTGTCAGAAAAGCGCGCGATTTTAAAGACAGCCACTTCGCGTCGTGTTTGCAAAGCGCGCAAGACCGTATCTCGTTCCTTTGAGGCACTTCAGCAGGGCGGGGTGGATTGTAACGAGCGTTTCATGACATCGAGTGAGCTGATAAGCACACCTCGGCGCCGGAAGAGTTGCTGATAACATCTCTTACTGTCTATACTGTTTTTAGAATTAGTATCAAATTTATGGTTTTCCTCTTCGAGCCGTGACACCCAAATGCCAATTGCGAAGAGAGGAAATGGTTTTGAAATCGAATCTTTGGAAGTGTTTTCGAGGCCATGTTGCAATACTGCTATCAGAGAATATGCAACACTCTGTTTTTCAAACCAAACTCAGAGTAGTCAAACATGATTTGGATTGATTGCACTGCCTACTTGTAAGAATACATTCGCCCCCGCCACCTTCTCTCCAGCGACACATATCACCTCTTTGAAAATGTAAGGCGGGCACCTGAGCCTTGCACGTGCGGAAAATGGAAGTGAGTGGTGAACCTTTTTCACACATGTCGGTGCCACAAACAGATATATCGAAGAGGCATTCCATTTTGCTCAGAGAGTCTTGGTATGTTCCATCAGTTTATTGGCCAATTCATCTGCCGGACAGATTAAACGGCATGGCACACCCGGTATTGGCAGGAGTTAATTCTTAAGGACGTTATGGGACTCTCTTTGCCTTTGCATATCAACGACACGTCTTACCGACTGGACCTTTGCGAACATCCAATACCCTTAATAACTTGATTTCCACATAACACCCGGCCGCCCTTTCGGCACGAGTCAATTAGAAATTGAGACGAAGAGTCCCGGAGGTGGACGAATTCCTGGACCGCGCGGAGACGGGACACGTTTACGCCGCCGCTTAATGCTCCACACGAACTAATTAAGCTACGACTGACCATTTGCTGAATTAATTGTTTCTGCTCCCAAACATCTGATCTGGTCAGCAGTCTCCGGGGTCACTGGTACAAACTGTGAGGGTCCAAAGTTTCACGTTAATTAGATAAATGCATTAGCTGTCAATTCGTCCTTGAATATAATTCCACACGGTTAAGAAAAGGAAAACAAGTCGGCTATTGCGTCAATTACTTATTCACCGTTTTTATTAACTTTCACTTTTCTTTTTTATGTCTGGTGCCCTTTTTGCCTGGTGGCCTTTAAAATAAGTATCATTATTTTTGTTATTTAGAAAGCTAGTTGCTAGAATGTTAACCAAACTAATGCAACAGAAAAGATTGTGATTGTCAGCCCCAGCGTATGACATTAAAGTTAGTTTGATATTGGACATTCCCATTGGTTTGTACAACGAATGTTTGATTTTCTTTCTCGCCATTGGACATTCCCATAGATTTGCACAGGGATTGTCTGATTTTTCCCGACACGGTGGATATTCCCATAGGTTTGTAATGGGAATGTCCAATGTCGAGAAATATCAGACATTTGCTATACAAACCTATGGGAATGTCCAATGTCGAGAAATATCAGATATTTTCCAGAAAACCTATAGGGATGTCCAATGTCCAACATCAAACTAACTTTACTACGTCTGCTTGTCATTTGCGAGGAGGCTTTTGTATAATTTGGAGTTGATGCTAGAGATCCCTTGCGTGGCAACTTCGAGGGGCGTATTTTAACAAGTAGATCCTTTTTGCATTCATCTTTAAACAATCGGTCGGCTCGTGTTTATTTGCTGATTTTCATAATGTTCTCTACTCATCAGTGTTTGTTAGAGAAGATCCTACACACTAATAATAATCGAACTCGTTTCTGCCCTGTTTTGTTTTAATCATGACAGCGAACAGAAATATGTGGACCTCAACCGGACTATATACTGGCCGGGAGGAGGCTCGTCCCCGCCTGCCAACGGACCTGAATGTGGATGGGATAACGTGAACTGCATGCCGGCATTAAGCAGTAAGTCGTTCACTGCGACTACTTTCCGACAAGCACAAGGGACCGTTTACACTCTACGCCATAATCCCCACAATCATTTGTCATCTGCCATCTTTTATATCCTGCCACGTTCAAATCGGGCATTGCTTGTGGTTGTTGTTGGGTCGAGACGACGAATAACTGCTGCCATAAACAACATCTACTCACTACAAACTTGGCCTGATATTTTGGTGCAATTTGGTTCTTCTTCGTGTTGATCAACAGATGTACAAAATTCTGCCATCTAATTACAGGATGTCTGAGAGGTGACGTTATCATTTGCAGTTGATACTTTTAAATGTGTTTCTCGTTCCAGCGATCGAATTAGTTTTTGTGATCGTGGCTTCGGTCGTTACTGTAGTGGTGGCTTGTATCGTCGCATTCTTCGTGTACAGGTACGTTGCCCGAAAATCCCGTTTCTGGCGGTGTTTTCAAATTCAGAGCGTCGTCCAAAATATCGTCGCCATCATGTGAACTATTTGCAAACTGGTGCTCTCCTGCAAACTTTGGGTTTGAATGTTCATGTGTGGAGACAGAATTGTATCACGTAATTCAATTAACCGAAGAGCCTTATTAAATACAACTTGCAATCAGTATAAGTGTATATTTGTTTTTTTACTGGAATTTTTTTCTGTTCCCCTGGGCTGCATAGAACCATTCTTATCAAAAGACATGTGTACAAACTAGAAAACAGACAGTTGAAAGTCTGGACATAGACCTATATCTTGAAATTCTAATTCAATATTTACTCAGCTACGATGTACGTGTAGAGTCGTCTACATTTACACAATATGCAAAGGGATTGCAAAGAAGTAGTAAATTTACATTACATGTTCGTGTTTACCTCAAAGGGTTACGACGTGGACGATCAAGTGTTTAACACCATTTATCCGCAAGTATAGGCCTATTTTCCGATACCATGCGTATATCGCTTCCCCTCTTCGCCTTTCATGCGGAGCGTTTAAGTGGTTTTGTAGGGGTGAAGTCTTCGGCAAGGTTCGATATCAGTTTCATATGAAATTCAGATGAACTGATCTCGTGAAATATCAAGTTTTCGAAGCGCCTGAGGTATCGGGAATTGTCTTCTCGCGGGTGAAAGTGTTCCTTCACTGGCCGGAGGGAAACTAAATTGCAATGTATCACCAAAGGCTTTATCGTGACTAGGAAAACAGAGTAAATAAATAGATGAAAGGCGATTAATGTTGGCATAGTCCTCACTTAATGGGTACTGGACGGAAGAGAAAATGACGTTTGCTAATTTAGCAATTGAAATGTTTTAACGATGAAGATAAAAAAGTCTAAAATTAATGAACTGTGTCGTTGCCACACAGATTGATAGCGGTCAGTGATAATATGTCATTTCTTCCGACAGAAATCGCAAATACGAGGCTGAGTTGAGGCGGCAGGTTTGGAAGATCAACTTTGACGACATCGTCTTCTCCCAAGATGATCACATGAGGAGGAAGTTCGGGACAAGCTATGAATTCAGCATGGGAAAGGTGAGAAAATTAAGTCAACTGTCGATTGGGACTCTTTGACGGCAACAAAATCCCCGTCCGCAAATTTAACGGACTTCCGAAGTGGGATGCGACCAAGACCTCTCCACTGGCTCAGGAAATAAATTGAAGATGACGTGTATTGTGCAGCATCCAACCAAAAGGGATTGACTTAATTACTCTCTGTCGCGCGCGGTAGCAATAATTCCAGGAACACAAAGTATCATGTCATGTCAATGTGTTACCGCTTGCCACGGGAAATTACTTATCAACGGGCACTTTCCCATACCAAAAGACAAAGAAATCATTCCTAATGAGAGTTGACTGCGAGCAAACTTAGCCCCAAGTCACATCACCATTAATCTTCGGAGTCCCAGATCTCTGGGAAGCCTTAAGTGCAGGTTTAACTGTTGAACAATTAGAGAAATGAGCAACACGCTCTTGGAACCCGGAAGCCAGTGGCACCGAATCAATGCGATACATAGTATCTGAATTGACTTGCACAACACGCTCCGTATCTAGCTACTGACGTGCGTCGTCTACAAGGTCATCGTTTGATTCTCGTGAATGACATCTTCTACTGGCTTCCAAATACATTACACGTTCTCTAAGGGTTCTGTGTGGTGCATGTAGGTCTACACACAAGCGAATACCCAATGTAGCAATGGTACGCATAATCTTTTTCAAGGGTATACCAAAGAGAAAAAACGCGGTACCAGTCCGATATTGGCCCTAGGTCTTTCCAAGTGCAACTTCTGAAAACTCAACGACTGCATTAATGGGAAAAACCTGGTCAAAAGAAGCAGAAGTCTGCCTGACCTCACGAAATGGAAAAACAAAACAGAACAGCTATACAGATTCTGAGATACATCATTGGTGGCCACGAAGTTTCTCTTTCTTCAATAAGGTCTCCAGCTAGGGCTAGTACGATCCGTGGGATGCAAGTGGCAAGGAACGAAGCCATAGCCACAAGATGCCTGACTGGCCGTGCCGGTCATGACCGTACAAGCAAAGTAGGGCAATAACACAGTCTCGGACTCAAATATTGAGATCAACTTGATCGCGTGTTGGTGTTTGCCGAGGAAAGACGCCTAATCCTTGTCTGGTCAGTCCTACATTCGCAGTCCTCACATAGAGGCAACATTATCAGGACCGGCAGCGGAAGCTGACTGTACAATTCATAGGAGTTTGTGAATTCACTGGCACGCTGTTTAAAATGCACGACGGGAGGGAATATCATTTAAACGCGAGGGAGTGAGCGGAAACGCACGGTACGGTGAGCTAGCTGAGTTGTCTTGCTTCAGTGGCTGACGGTTGTTGAATGTTGCCATCCATCATTTCCGTCAGCTTATGACAAGTTAATGACTCCATAACGTGCAGTTCCCTGCCCAGCAAAATATTTCATCAATCAACCGATTAACATCATCAGTTCTTACAGGCTAAGTGTAGCATAATGGTGGGCAATGGAATAATGCATGTATCACAACGGAGCCACTGCAGCCATCTGAAAGTTTGTCCGTTGCTTTCCTGACACGTCGCATAAAATAATAAAACCACGAACACTAGGAGCGAGAGGTGAATAGCCTTGTCTCAATTTTTTTTGCTCTACGGTTAATGTGCGGTGATGTGTGAGAGCACAGCTAAATGACATTAACAGAGGGCGCTATTGACGAGGTGTAGCAGGTTTGCTGCGCTGGCCAGCGACTTGGGAATCCGTTGACTTACCGGACGTTTGACGAACATCCGAAGAAGCCAGTCTTGGTCCTTGATTTACGCGTGAGTTGTAAAGTTTTCATTTTTGGTCTCCTTTGCTAAATGGTAATTTCTCACGCCAGTTTTCATCACAGATAAGCGATCATGCGCGCATCATGGACGGCAGCGCCGTATCTTTATTCAGCGCCAACACTTTCACCAAGGTCGGTCGTTACCAAGGTGCCTGGGTCGCCATCAAACCGCTCAACAAGCCATCCGTTAACATCAACAGGGAAATTCTCAAGGAATTCAAACAGGTAAGTGTTGTCTACTAGTCGGTGGAATAATTACGAGGGGTTGTTTCTGAAATGAGATGACCGAATATCAGACAGCTCTTTATGTAACTACGCCTTTACCGGTGTATAATGTTGCACATAACCCGAAGATGCTCTCTACCGTGCATTATTGCATTTTCTGTACATCCAAATCATTCAAGAAAATCCGAACTGCTAGGAGAAGTGTTCCACACAAATTAACGATAGGTAGTGTTCATAGTGTTAAGTAAATAGGTTTTAACAGTAATTCCATCTTGCAACCGAATATAAATATTTTATATAAATAAGGAATGCCAAAATGTTCAAGAGAGCTAACTAGTACTTTAGTGACAAAGAAACGAAAGGAAAGAAAGACTATAGTCACATCCAAGATAGAGTGTTATCTTTATTACCTTAATCTCACCTTACCTGCAGCTTCGGGATCTCCAGCACACGAATGTAAACCCATTCCTGGGCGCATGCGTAGAGCCTCCCAACCTCTGCATTATCTACAAATACTGCAGCCGAGGCAGTCTGCAGGTAGGGATAACTCCCCAAATCTCGAGCCTTCCGCAAACCACTAGAACAGACTGTGATGGCGTGCTTGATAAGTGCAGTTATGCCTGATAAGTCTCTGTGGCACTATAAGCGAGGATGACTTCCAAAGTTAAACTATGCCGCGTGCTACAGAATGTAACGTCATGAATGTCATGAGATCGCTGTGGTTTTAGGAAGGCCCATCTTGTACATGTATGTGGACGCACCGTATGCATTCAATTTGTAGGTGCGTCCATGAGCTACTATCATAATGATGATGCTATACAGAACCCAAAAGCACTTCCACTATACGCTGAATGGAAAGAGTGAAATAGGGGTTGATTCTTCAATGATCCAACTATGTAAACTATTAGACAGCAACAAACAAATAAAAGTGGATGATGTCATCTCCAAACTGAAGTCCAGCGACAGACTATAATGCCATGCATATACCAAAAGCTGGGTACAAAATAGACATTAGTGCAACACTGCAGGCCTTATCCGTTTACGCAATACGAATACTGGTACCTATGATAACTCCATGTTGTCTCTATGGAAGGCCAGTGTTGCGATGGCAACTTTATGAAACGGCTGTTGCAGGCGAACCCAATCACTGTTTATGACCCAAAATACCACACCAGAGCTGGCAGCCCGAACGCCATACTGACTGCTCTCTCCTTTTGGGCTTTCTCTCTCAGGATGTTCTCAACAATGATCACATCAAACTGGACTACCTCTTCAAGTGGTCATTTGCCATGGATGTGGCGAAAGTAAGTGGCTGCTTCACGAAGCCTTTGCGTTGAGCTACGGGCAGCCTTGGAGACTAGAAATTTTGCACAATATAAAGTGTCTGACGGCGACATATTGTTATTGTAGTCGGGCGAAATAAATCTCCAGACTACCAATAGCTACCTACGTCTGTAATAAGGAAGCATCGATTTTGCTGCAATTGTTTGGAATCGAGAGACTCTTGGACAGAAATTGTAATACATGTATCTGAATTTCTTTTGTGGAATATTTTGGTATCCTCTCAGGGCCTGAATCACCTGCATTCCTCACCTATCCAGTCCCACGGCAACCTACGGTCAACCAACTGCCTAGTGGACAGCCGCTGGGTCTGTAAGATCTCGGACTTTGGCTTGGTCAAACTCAGAGATGGGGCCGTGGACAATCGGTTTAGCGAAGAGGCGAAATTCGCAAGTGAGTGCCTTATGGCCAGTAATTTCCTTGCGTAGAATTTCTGTGGAGGTAGTTAAATAATCCGAGAAATCTGGTCTGAGTCCCGATAGGTCAAGAATAATGCCGAAGCACTCCGGTGAGGCAGAAGTCAGTTTTTCCATGAAGTTGTCACAATCAGTTGTAGAGAGAATCCAATTTTAAGGCGAAGCTTTGGAAGGGTTCTTAATGCACTTCTGATCTTTTGGCATCACGTGACCTACCTCATCGGCTAAAATGATACTGACTAGCGGGCCTGTAGCAAACAATAAAGCCTTCGATAGGAGTGCTGTGTACAGAAACTCATGAGAAAGCATTCATAACCTCGGAAGTGTCAGAGAAACGTCAAAGGACAGAGGTAAAATTTGGCATTATTTCAAACTAAACAAAAAGCGTTTTCTCCCATGCAATGAAAACCAGGAGGAAACAGTCTTCATTTCCGAACTGCAGTGCAAAGACCGGGTAGGAATGATACCCTGATGCAGTGATCTCACACCGCCGTCTATGCACAGTTCAACTTCATTCTGTCGAGTTTCTCCACTCCATAGGAAACCTTACGACGGCCCCTGAGCTCCTGAACCTGGAAAGGCCGCCACTGCAAGGAACTCAGAGTGGTGACTGCTATTCATACGGCATACTGCTCCAGGAGATATTCCTCCGCGATTCGCCGTACTGTATGGTGGAACTATCGGCTCGAGGTACGGTATGGTTAGACCTAACGAAATGGGAGGGAGAGGTGTAACTACCGTATAAAGTCAGCACGAATATTACCACAAGTGTGTGGACAATTTACAAGCACTGCATACTACAAATTGGTCACATTTTGAGACTATTGTACGCGCTTACTCAACAGATATTATAAAATTGGTCAAGGCCTGCAAAGATCCTCCGTTCAGACCAGTCATCCCCGAGTCAGTGGACAGTCGAGTAGTGAGGCTGATGCAGAGCTGTTGGGCTGCCGATCCCGAGGCCAGGCCATCTATAGCCTCAGCCATTAAAAAGCTTCAACAGTGTTCACATGGCAGGTAATATTATGACCACAAAACACCTGCATTATACGGCTCGAGCAGAAGCACACCTTCATCGGTTGAAAAGAGCCACGTTGATCGGGAGTATTCATGTTGCTGGCAGCGATGCGACCGTGACGCGTGCATTTCCTTGTCTTTAGTGGACCAGCGAAGTTCAGTTGCGACCGACGAAGTCTCCTTTGTTTAAGAAAATAGCGCCCTCTCTTTTTCCAGCTCGCTGCCCACAGAGGAAGCACCTCCCAAAGACTTGCTGCACATAAGTTATCCGCCTTGAGCAGAAGCACCCCCTCATCAATTGAAAGAGCCATGCCGGTGGGGTGTGTTCGTTATGTTGGTAGCGAGCGTACGTAACGCATGTATCTCACAGTCATTTGTGAACCAGCAAAACGGTGCAATTCTCAACGAAGGATCCCCCCCTTTCAAGGAAAATCGCGCCCTCTCTTGGTCCCGTTCGGGGCCTATAGACCTGCATACCGGTAGTTTTGGTCTTTGTGAAACGCAAGAAATAAACGCCGCCCCAAGATGCGTTGTCCAACATGGGTTATTGTCTGCAGTCATAAAAGAACGCCCTCTCTGTGTGTTCCCTTTTAAGTGTAAACAGCGCCCTCTTTCCTGTATGGAGAGAATTTCTTGTTCTTTTGAACCTCGTCTCTTTCCCATCTGCTTCTAGGAAAGGAAATCTGATAGATAACATGGTGGACATGATGGAGAAATACACAGACCAGCTGGAGGAGATGGTAGAAGAGCGGACTAAACAGCTGGAGGAGGAAAAGAAACGAACAGACGAACTTCTGTATGAAATATTGCCTAGGTAAATTGGCCAAGAGTCGACTCCCCCTAACCAGTGTTAAAATTTAGAGGAGGATGATAAAAGTAGTAATGGGTCGAGTTTGGGCAGCCTGTTCGTGACACGGGTTTATTGTTCTCGCGCTCGAACGGCGGGAACACGACTCAAGAATACTGTTCTCGGAACAGGATCACACACCACCTCCTCGTCAGGGGTCTACGGGAACACACGGAAAACTCCTGAGATTTTGGTTTTTGAATAGCTGCAAAAGGTAGATAGATGGCTTATAAAGACATAGACAATGGGAAGTTTTAAAAAATAATATTAACTATTTTCTATTAAACACAGAATCGAACGTTACTGTTTAAATAGAAAAGAATTCAGCCCAGTTATTCAAACATTAACGCTCGAATAACTAACATCGAAGCCGCCATATTGCATGTTGCTTGTCACTAACTACCAGCGATAACCGGTTGTATGTTCCTGGTGTTCCAGCGGCCGAGCCACGAACAACAAATCGAGCAGTTCGTGATCATACATATACGAGAACAAGCTGCCCAAACTCAGCCATAGATGTAATATTTTCCCTGGTGTAGTTCGACTCAGAGCAAACCCACTGAGAGCAGAATTTTGAAGAGGCATTTGACAGTCGACACATGGTAAATAATAAGGGGAAAGATCGAAAGAAAAGTGCGGTTTAAGGAAGAAAAGAAAAAGGAACAGTTTGGAAAAAGGAAGGAAAAGACTTTATGATGCAAAACTGCGTTCTAAAACAGGGCATAATCTATCAGAGTCGTGATGGATAACAGGTACTGTGATGTATCGGACATCTATGTTAGTACCGAGCCTATCCAATGAGAGAACTTTAGTTTAAACACCAACTGTAGGATTTTAAAATTGCAGGCAACGGTATCCTTAGGCAGATATTTTGAAAAAACAGACAAAACGGATGGTAGGGAGCTCCAATGGACAATTATTGGAGTCGTGCTCATTACAGGGATGCGGGTAAGGCAGACTTTCCTCAATTAAGAGACAGATGAAACCAGACGATTACTGTGGTCACTGGTTGCTAGGACGATTACTCCGTCACGACACGGTAAATTTTGGTTCAAGGAGAGGAACGTGCTCAGCGTCTCTCTGGAAAATTCAAAAGCATCTCAAAAGCCTTTTGAAAAGACAAAATGGGGGAGGGGGCCTTGAAAAGGTAGAAAGGTAAACACTAGGTTGGTTTGAAAAGGAGCAATGATATTGCCGACTGGCCAAAGGCAGGCAGACGCCTCTTTTAGAGACTGTAATCCGGTCGACTTTTGGATGCGCCCGAAGAGGGGATTAGAACTAAAATATCTTGGGAAAACAAAAGCTGAACATCTGGAAGGGAATGAAGACAGATTATACCAGTCTGCAAGGACTGGGGGCGCTTTCCAATCGCCATGATCTCATCCTCTTGGGGAAAAAACCGTGAATAAACGCCAACCCCCGCACAAAATGTTGCATTTAAAAAAAGGTGGGGGGCATGCCCGGTTGGCCTCTTTGAATCCACTGGACCCCAGTCCAAGTAGCGGTGAGCACGACATTGGAATAACCTGAACATTCCTGGTTTTGCTTTCGGTCAGATCTGTTGCAGATGAGTTGAAACAGGGCAAAAGTGTAGAACCAGTCAGTTTCCCAGCAGTCACGGTGTTCTTCAGTGACATTGTGGGATTTACGCGGCTGGCAGCAGCAAGTTCTCCTATGCAGGTACATGTCTCCAAGAACCCGTTCCCGAAGAACTTTGAATTCAGTTTTTCGTGGTTCTTATCATAGAAGAGAAACAAAATAAACCCAAAGAAAGTAATAATAAAGCACACATACAAAAATAGCATGAAGCAAGCATTGACTGTGGTTTATTGTGCACTAACATCCAAAAATATTCAGTCAATTATGAAGTTGCGTGTGAGACAGTTACAAACTGCACTTAAAATGTTTTGGCTTCATTTCTATCGAATTTCACCGTGAACGTTATGTTTGCATGCAGTTTTTACTCCGAAAATATTGGTATTGACAAGTTCCCTCTGTTTGGGCTGTACTCAAATCATTGGCATTTGCATGAGGAATTCGTTCACGTGATTTTCGTATTTTGAATGTTGTTCGCACTATTTTCATGTTTTTTTTAGGTGATAGACTTGTTGAACAATCTCTACACTGGATTTGATAGCACCATAGAGAATTACGACGTGTACAAGGTATAAAGGGAAGGGGTCCTCGGTCGGGTGTTGATCAGGGGACACAGGTCGATTTCTACAGCACTTTGCGAACCACAAGAAGTGTCGGTAAAACTTGGGACAATGTCCTATTATGGGGAAAGTTATGTCTCTTGGCTATAAACAAATCGAAAGTTTACTTTTATATACACTATGTGCCATCCTTATAAAGAAGCCTTAAGGGCTGCTTTTAAAAGTTCTGTGGAATCCAAGCTTTTTGCATTCAAGATAACCTGAATCTAAAATATATATTGCTGTCGAGAATCAATTAGCGCGTGTCTTGACACAGAATAACGCCAAAGAAAATCTACAGGTGGCCCCGTTTTAAGCAATTCTTTTTTTCACCGTATTGGAAAAAAATCATCAGTGAGGTGACCTCTTGGAAATTACGAGACTCTCTATTTCCCAAACTTCCAAATTCCAGGTTGAAACCATCGGTGATGCGTACATGGTGGCTAGCGGTCTGCCCGTCAGGAATGGAGACAAACACGCCGGCGAGATATGCACAATGGCCCTCGATCTTCTCAGCTTCGTCAAGACGTTCCACATCGCCCACAAGCCCGAGGAACATCTGCAGCTCAGGATTGGTGTCCACACGGGTAGGTTGCTGTTCGGCGCCGGCATGCCCCGTGCCGGAACTGGACTCGCACGTGGTGGCAGGCTTTGTGTTGAAATGTGTCGGATCACTAAGACACTTTTATAATTGATCCTAGTAAACAACCAACAGCGCCCCGATTAACGATGAGAAAACACTACCAGGCCTCACAACATCAAGAAGACGTAAAACGTTCCGCACGGCAGCCATCTCTCCGGTAACTTCTTTTGTTTACAGTGGGATAGTACAAAAGGTCTATTCATGTATATATATATCCCTGCGGAACAAGAGCTCTTACCGAAAAAAATGACTGCCACGCAGAACCTCGTTAGCATGTAAACATTGAGGAGGTACTTTTAGTGTTGCCTTTGCCGTGAAAGAGGACAGCACTGAAATTCAACGTGCGGAGAGAAAATTCCACTCCATTTTTACTGGCACTTCAGCGTGTTGAAAAAGTGAAAATTTTCGTGTGGCACGCTGCAATATAAAAAGAAGGGGGGGGGGTATTTAATGACAGGAATGTGGAACACCGGGCACTGTCACCAGTTAAAGTTATATGAGTAAAACTGCAAATTAAAATGTTGAAACTGCTTCCATTTAAAGAGTTACAAAAACAACAACACGATAAGGCCACGAAATTTGGTGAGTTTTTCAAAATATTTCAACAAAGTAAAACTTGGCAATGGTGAACGAGGGGGGTTCTTATACACCACACTGCGAGCCAGCATATCAGAATAGTACATTTTCACATACAGGTCCCGTTGTCGCTGGTGTTGTTGGAAAGAAGATGCCGAGATATTGCCTTTTCGGGGACACCGTAAACTACGCATCTAGGATGGAGTCTAGCGGGCTAGGTGAGAAAAGATTGACCTCTTCCTTCTTTTCAGTTAGAAAAAAACCAATGCTATATGCACTGTCGCTGCTAAGAAGATTTTAAAATATTAATTTTCCTGTAAAACTAGGCAGGCTCGTGAATTATCATTGCAATAGCCTTTTTTGCCAAAGATTTGGTTGAAAATTTCTACCATTTTTTTAATGGTGGTCAATAATAATCTTGGTTGTATCCACCTTTACGTTGATGAATTTTTGAGTTTGATGCACATAAGTTATTTTATTCCCCTTTGCTAGCTGAATTGATTAGACTCTAGTCAATTGAATCCAATCCGATTGTATCCCTCTTGCACGGCAACGTATAATGTCGTAGACAATCTCCAAGCAGAATGCACTTTATGAAATCAATCTTCAAAACTTCTTTGACGGATCGGATGAGTAGTGTCGGTTTATTTAGAAGAATGAATATTCCAACGTAGGATCGCTCCCAAAGGGGTAAGACTTCCGAGTTTCCAATGGGTGAAATGTTCAACCGAGGAATAAAAAGCCACCTAAGTGCCACCGACGGTAGGAAAAAACCTCTGTTGTAACATGAACAAGCTGACACAGGACATGATAGAGTCATCCATGGCTCACAACACGCTCTATAATCCAACAGAACCTTGGACTTTCGTAAATTCGTGCAGACTCAACAGCGCAGTTAATTTTTTTTATTGAACTTGACTCCAAACCGCATGGATCGGTGTTTTTCAACCACAGCGTCCAGACCAATCGTGCAGCCTTACCGTGAGGGAAACAGGTCACAAATTTAGATTTGTTTTATTATTTGGCGGCCCAAGTGGTCCCTTCCTGTGTCTAATACTCCCAGTTGAACAAATAACAATGCAAACTTTTGTTGAGGACTGCAATACTTTTTCAATATTTAATGACGCTCCTTTCAAGAAAGTTACAAAATTAAAAATTTTTTAATCAGTCCTACGGGATTGAAACCAATCTAAAACTAATCGCTGTCATTTAGTTCATGCAGGTTTTTTAATCAATTATTTCTCGTTCTAATGCCACAGCACCGTGCTCAAGGGATCTTTCATTATTAATGGCACTGTTTCGTTTTACTCTCAACAATGTGATCTTTCAATGGAGGCTGGATCTATGTTGGTTCCCCCCCTGCAACAATACGGGGGAAAAATGGACACACTCCACACAAAAACATACCAGGTTCATCCCTTCCTACAGCGCACATGTGACTGAGTAGCTGTCACACTGTTCCACGAACGATATAATGCCTCCCTTCTCACGTCCAAATGTAATCTTCAATGTCATCTTTGCAGCTCTCCGAATCCATGTCAGTCCGGAGTGCAGGGACATCCTGGAAAAATTAGGAAAGTTTTATCTGGAAAGGCGGGGAAGCGTACAAATGAAGGTAAGAAAGAAAGGGGAAAAACCTATGGAATTATTCCCCGTCATTTTGCTTTGGGTGAGATCTGACCATCCTAATGTAACTTGGTATCGGAGAAACTCCGGCCTGTACATTTGTGTGTCTTTGATCTTCGTGTAAATCCTCCAACAGTCGGTGCTCAAAAAAAGGCAATTACATCTTGAGCCTTACAGCCGCATTTCCCGAAAACATAAGGTTGTGAGTCGGAAAGGAATACTCTCATTAGGCTGAAATGAATTCCCATCCGTCATAACCTACGTGCTTCGATTCCAGTTGGAAAGCCTTAATGAGGAAAACATACATGGATGCTGGATGAGAAGCAGTTCCGGGGGGGGGGTGCCTCACAGACGGCACGCCTCTAGCCGACAGTGTGGCGTTGGCTCGGGGAAATGCTGAATTGCAGTTCACATTCTGCGTGTAGCCAGGGTGACAGTGTACGTTCTGTCGCACGTAGAAGTGCTGTGAACGCTGTAAATGCTCTTAGAATCTTCTACGAACAGCAAGTTTTTAATTCACTGAATGTTACGGGAATTCCAGAGGATTTGTCACAAGGCTTTGTACATGTCATGTTTGAGCGTGCGGGCTTCGTGGCTGCTGCGGATCAAAATCGTGGGGGTAGGTTTGCACGGTTGCCGAGGTGACCTTATTGTAGTACTGGGGAGGTGACCTTATTTACTAGGAAGGCTCGCAATTCACGTTTATCACTGGTGGTTTTCTCACTGGTTGGTTTCTGGCTTGTCGTTTTTGCAGGGCAAAGGGACGATTGAGACATTCTTTCTTGTTGGCAAGGACGGGTTTACAAAAGAGCTGCCGAGTCTCACAACAGCGGTTGCTTTGGAGGATCACGAGTTTAAGTAGTATCCCAGAATCTCTTCTCTTACCACTATGACATGTTCTCAGTTAAATTACCTCTAAAAACGTAATGTTAACATTATTTATGACATTTTGCTGGTAATAAATTACATAGTTAAAACTTCTTTATTGTTCACCGAATATGAAATAAACATCAAAACCTTGAGAAACTCCGATAAAAAGGCAAGTTCTGACAACAATTCAGTTCTGAAGCAAATTTGGTTGATACCTGCCATCATTTTTCAAAGCAGTTTTCCATTCTAAAAATGGCCAAAATGTTTTGACATTTATTCCTTATGATATAGTTCAATATCAAGTACACGTACCCTAATAGACAGTGTAAAAAGGCGTTCAAGTAGGATTTCAAGCTTTGTATGGTGGAAGTTACATGAGCACACCATGGAATCAATCTCTTCAGAAGAGGTGTGGTTCTGAGAAGGACTGATGAGTATTAACTGAGAAGAACCGGTAAGTATTAACCGGTGAGTTGATACTTACTGGTTCTTCTCAGAACCTCACCTCTTCTGAAGAGACAATTTCCAGGCTGTACCCGCAAACTTACGGCTCAGATTGCATTCAATCGAAAACGTTGGTCAAATCTTACCCAAATCAGTCTAATTTTTAGGTTATTCCAGTCACACCGTTGGTTGAAACAACACTGCCCAACATGTTTAAACCACATTTTTCACAAAGTGAGGCTTCGTTGTGAGCGTGAGACAAATTTGTGGGCGACTGACATCATTGCAGGGATGTGAGCGAACCGAGAACAGAGCTGTAGAGACGGCTGTGTGGTTGTTTTCATACGGAACGTGTGAAGCGGACGTTAAAGAGTTCTTGGACAGAATTGTGGGTGGAAGGGAAAGCAGTAGTGAAACTGATCTATGCATGAAAGAGGAAAACTAAATACCAGAAAGGAGCTTTAGAAATTTTTTTTACTGCTGTGGACTTGTTGACAACTGAAAAAAAAACGTGAGCTAAAAGATGTGCATTATTTTTTCCCTTCAAAACGAACCAATTCACAAGCGCTTAAGCGTATCAGGGCTGTACATCTTTTTTGTGCTCGTACGCTAGGGGCGGAATATACTAGGTCGCAAAAATAACCTGGAATGTTATTACACTGGGCGCCTAATCAATAGTCATATACCCTGCGATTCTAAGAAAAAAACCAACATCAATAACTTTTGGTGTTAACGGTATGAAATGAACGGCTGTGAAGCGTAACTGGTTATCGTGAGAGTGCCATCGGGGTGTCTGTGTCGTGTATGGCCCAAAGGTTCTAATGGCTGAATGTGATTTTCCTGCCTTTCATTGATTTGTATGGACTACCGTGCCAGGAAAATTTCACTCCTGAAAATCCGAAGATTTAAAGCGGTTTGTAGTGATGCCGAAGGCAGACCACGAAGAAAATAGATTAAAAAATCCTCGCAATATGGGCCAGGTATCATGTCAAGACTTTTTTCACCCCCTGAATGATACTTGTGTTTCTTGGTATCTTTTGGGAATAGGGTTAAAATCTCTCCTTTTCCATCTTGAATGAATTGCTTGTGCACAATTTCGTTGACATAGGGCAGTGTTGACTCGTTTCGTGTACCGGTATATCTTCTGACGGAATTGACTGTTTCAAGTTTCGGCTCGCTTTACAAAAAAAGGTTTGCCTTGAAAACTTTAACAAGTTCGGCCTTTTTGCTAAAAAAGAAAGACTTTATCCCAATGTCCCCCGGCCACCTCGGAAAGAACAAGGCTGGTGATGAGGACATGAGCTTCAAATTATTTCCAGAAAGGGTAGCTGGCCATTATTTTTTATTTTTTGCATGTCTGTCCACCTGTTATTGGTAACGGGTTGATGCAAATACAAATTTATGAGGCAGACAAACCACCAGCGGACCAGAGGTTATTTAAATCCTTAACCAACGAAGGCCTGTTTGCTTTTGGCAAATGATCTTTTCCCCATTACTGTTAAGGCTTCTTGATTATTAAGGTTTCCTACTTAGTGCCGACAGAACAAAGGATAGGACGTGCAATTCTTTAACACGATATGTTTGCCGTTCGGTGTTGGGATCAAAGTTTCTGTGAATTATAATCTTTAAATGTAGGCCTAGATTCATTAGGCAGAGGAATTTTGACTTGTAAATAACCAGTTCATGTCAGCTGTGTCAAGAGAATGTTTATATATTGAAGGGAAGCATAACTTGGGGAAATGTTTTCGTCTCGTCTCCATCATGTTAGTCGTCATCTGTGATGTACAATGAAAAGTTATTTTCATAAAACGCAACGTTTTACAATACCTCAATGAAATGAACAGGTTTGTTTTGATATTCTGTATTTTTCTCGTGTTGCTTCGTTTTTAAGGATCGGATTGAGCGACAACGGTCAGAAAAAAATAAACCTAGCACACAGGACAGCTCCCTTATTTAAAAAGGCTGCGTACTTTAACATAAAAAGCCAGCACATTATACATGTACACTGGAGACATGAAAATCAGGGACACCCAAAGTTCACATTTGCATTTTTCTGGTCACGCCATTTTTTTCGCTGATCACACGCCTCCCAATACAAGCGAGGCTATCCGCTGGACGTCTGGCCAGCATTTCACACCCTGTGCTCGGTACAGATGCGAGAGTGTGTTGCCTTCGTGCCAGAATTTCCATGGTTCCCACTTTGGAGAATGGGACATAATGGCACCATTATTATAAAAGAGACCACAGTTAATTAGCGATCGGGCAAATGATGACTAAAAAAAGGAACTGGATCAAATACAAGTTATTTCTGGTGTTGTCTTTCACTTACCTCTGCGCATTACTCGGCAATACGTGGATACATGACTCGCGTGACAAACGTGACGTGCAGGACACATCTAGCAATTTTTTAGTCTTGCTGGTAAATGCACCAAAGGTTTCCTCGGTTGCCGACTGGTAGAGCTCGGAAAAGCTGAAGAAACTGGGGGGAGCAGATGATGAGGAAAGTGTTACATTTTTTAGAGGTATATACTACAGAACTCAAACTCACAGACTCGGGTCTTACGGAGTGGAACACAATCCGTAGGTAGGCCTAGATGGGGTTCAAACCTAACTCGCAAGTTTCGAAGGCGAAAAAAAACCTGAAGCGCAAAATAGCCATTTGCTGACATAATGCTTAACAAAGGTTGCATTTACATGTACCTACATCATAAAAAAGAACTGACGTGACATTATTCTGAATCCATCCCTCAGGCACAAATGGAAGAGGTCAGAGGTCACTGCCCTGGGCTCAGTCATGAATTCATGACATTACCCATGATGCTCCACGATACATGGAATCATCTTGCTAATGTCTTAATTAGATGAATTGTCCGAGCCTATAGCCGCATGCAAACACTTCAAACATTCCAATTCTACACAAAGTCAGTCTTTATTGCTTTTAGATCTGCCTTTTGAAGGGCTATAGAGTAATTGGAAGAGAGCAATATTTAGTAATTCTTTCAGAGGAATGGAACTCTGTTTTCCTTCTATTCAGATTTTTTGTGCCTGTTTTCACTTTTGAGCAAAGAAAACGGAGTTCTGTTGCATCTAGGATTGGCCTCCGTCTAGAATGCCCTGTTACATATTGCTCAACAGCCATTGTTCCTGATAAAAGCCCTGGAATTCAGAATTCACCTCCCCCACCCAAAAAAACATGATTCGACCCACGACGCTGGATATTCCTTCATTTTGAAACACAGTGACAGCGTGAAACTATACTTCAGCCACATATGGTACGCCGGTGCCGTTGGTCGAAGGCGTATCACGCCACGCCGCCTCGTCTGCAGGATATTGTATTGGCCTCAGCCAGCGAGCGGCGTTTAGGGAGAGGTCGTTTTCTATCAGCGATAAAATAAAACATCTGGAAGGCAAGGAAAATGGCCCAGGGATCGCACCAATCGATGCTGAAAAAGCCTGCATCGATCGAAATAAGTTTCAGTAATATTCATGTGTTTCAGGTAAAGGCAGAAAGAGGACACAGCTGGAGAAGAGTGAGTCACAAAAGGAAAAACCGAATCGGCAGGCAGAAACGTGGGTATCAAAGAAAGGAAGGGTTTTAAAATGTCGAGCATACTAGTGTCGCATCTGTAAATATTTCGATGTTAAGATCGAGCTTTGTCATTATGCTGTTGCTCGTATATTATGTGAGTGTACTGTCGGAGGTACGATGTGACCGTAAGGGGTGTTGCATTTCGGTTTCGCTTTCATGTTGATTAAAATTCGGAATTGAATCATTTCCATTGGAGTTTCATGTTGTGAACTGTGGCTTTTGGGAGATGCACACTCGTATCTACATGTATTTTGGTCGCAGGCCTTCTAAATCTGTGTCACCGTTTTTGACATTTCAATTAGTAAAATGTAAAAGTTATTGTTCCGGTAATGGCGAGAGAAGATTGCTGTCACATAGAGTATTCGTCTATTTCCCCTGGTGACTACATCGTGTACGGCAATGGGATTTTGTATTTACGATTCCAATCACTTCCACTCCGATTCCATTTGGAGGTAAAAGGAACGATTGGACCCCGCTTTAATTTCAGTTTACATCCATTAGTGGAAAGGCACACGGCATGACTTCTGAGAAAGTTGGCGAATGACCATGTTTTTTGGCTGTTGAAATTGCCGGCCTGTTTTTGTGCAAATGGGGTGTACATTTCTTCAGATTACGACGATGGCCAGAGCGTTTGTAAATAACCGTTTCTGGATGGTGGGATCGCAAGCTAATAATTTAGACTCATGTTTAACAGTAGGCTGCGAATGAAATGAGGACAGACAGTAAACAAGGAGAACTGAATATCATCGTCTAGGAGACATTAGTTTGAACAGGAGGCAACAAGGAGATACTTGCCAATCGGTGGCGCATTAGGGTTGCGAAGAAATGTTTGTCTTTTCTTACAGCGACAGACTGCACCAGCATTTCTTTAGAACCAATGTTTCGTTTATAGGTGTCAGCCTGTTACGTCAACTAAGGGATTTGTTCGGCTCGGCTCCCAAGCCCGGAAATGTCACGGCTTCGAACTTTTACCAGCAACGGCGCGGCAATGGACATCTTCTCCGCCTTTTTTTTTAAATTGTTTTTCTTCGTGTGGGACGGCAGGCTAACCGTCGCATATCTGGTTCAATAAATTCACGAAAACAGGAGAAGGGCCGAAGGCATTGCAAGTAGTTGCTTCAGGTAACCGTACACGAGGTTTGTACGAGATATCCGTCGAAGATGGTCGAGTGGAAAGGAGTAATACGTCTACGATGGTAAAGCTGACTACCCCGCTGTGCCGAAGGATATTTTCAATTTGAAAATAACCTGCCAAACAAAAATAAAAATTTAAAGTTTAGGTTTGAAGTCAATTTCAATAATATATCCCGTGTGAAATTACACAGGTCAGGTGTAACAGAGACAGAAAAACTGTCACACTTCAAACCCCAAATTTATAAAATGACCCACCACTGTTCGATTAAAATACTTGGGTGTGTTCACACGATGGAACTGCTATGCAAGGGTGCATCTTTCCATATCCGTATTCGCACAAAGGTTCAGTGGAATCTTTGAGCAAGCCTGTCAGTGCAGACAAGGGCGCGGGGAGGGGGGACTTCAGCAACTCTTCACGGATCTCATCACCCGTCATGCACAGAGTGATGCTTGTTTAATGATGGTGAAACACTGCTCGACAGACATCCAAGTCAGCGCGCAACTCATCTCCTAATTATTTCCCGCTCTTCTTTCTCCTCGACAGGAAGCGAGGTGGAAGGAATGCGACTCGGCCAGGCAACGCTGCACATTTTGTTAAAACGCGTTTATCACTGGTCCTTCGATAAAAATGAACTCAATTGACCTTATTAACACAAGTCGGAAGCGAGGTTGACTTTTTATATTGGGAATTTGAAAATAATATAAAACAATGAAATAAAAGCTCATTACAGATTAATTTCATTTACAATGATGAATGATGGAAACATTATTATTTACGATATCTAATGTTTTCAGAAGCATTTAAAACACAAAACGAAAGTAAGGCGTGGAACCCAAAGTAGCCTGGCACCATCCGATTTGGCAGATAAGATAGATTCAAGGAACATGATCAAAAATGGCTTCCTTACGAAAAAGGTCTCAGTTCAAGTAGAGTAACGTACGCCAATCAATGGCATTCGTGTAGTGAATAGCATTTTCCAACTCTCTATGCAAATAACATTAACCGTTGAGTTCCCGAGGACGTATTTGCACGTATCATGACCGCACCACAAATTCACGGCATATTGTGGAAAGAAAGTCAATGACGATAAATTGAAAAGCGTGTGCAAACACCAATCATAGTAAGCAGACATTTGCTGGTTTCGTTTCAATAACAGCTTTAACTGAGGAGGGGATAATAATCACTGACGTCATCACGATTTGTTTGCGATTCTGATGCTATGCACCACACTTGTACCCTGGAATTCGGAATCGACTAATTGAATGCCTAAGAAGTGAAATCGGAGATCAATGAGTATCGATTAGCGGTGGTGACCGCGCACAACACGCACGATGCAAGAAAACATCACAATGCAGCGGGGGGACAGGACCCTAATGTGGTTAACGTTGCTAACTAAATTCCGAGGCCCGGGAATTATACAAATTACGCAAGGTTCCCTTTCCTGTTTGGCTCCCGTCCCCGCGGGTGACAAAACAACCTTAGAGCCCCGTGCGCAAGGTTGTGGCAACAAATTACCCAAGTACGTGATGTCAACCGGCGGGCGTGCAACACAGCGGGCGTTTCCTGACATCCGATGCAGCTTGTCTTGTCAGTCAAGTTGAATGTGTGTACTTCTCCGTCCCGTCTTTTTTCAGGTTGTGTATTGGGTCTGAAATCCATCGATTAATTGAGACATCGTCCACGTGAGCAAGGGTATTATTTCTTTCATTCCTTGCTTTCTGGCCGTCACTGTACATACCCCGGACGTCAGTACATTCTTGGGAATAATACTTTCTAATTTCCCATAATCAGGGGTGGGTGGGGTTGTAAACATTTTGACAAACCATTGTATCTCTCTTAGATATCAGGGTCAAGATCTGACCTAGTTCAAAATTCGGGACTAAGAGATCATTATTCTATTCAAGCCCCAATTACAGAAAAAAATGCTTATGCAACAGCAAGAGCCCTCTATCTGCATGCATGAACTGAGATCACGCATTTTGTCGGTGACCGGTAGTTTCCATTGCCAAACCAAGTTTGAAGTCGACCCGAATCCAATGAAAACTTCTCAATGTATTCTGGGAGTGTGCTCAAGTTTTTCCCTCCCAGTTTTCCATAGACACCAAATGCTAGACATG